TCTAGTTTGTATTACTTTTGGAGTAGTTTTGCTTAATATAGTCATCAGAAAAGGCAAAGAAAAATCTGGATCTGCCGAGATTTCTTTGCCTCCTCTTTGTCACTTCATTACATCCTTGCCTGAGACTCATGTTCTGCCAAGTCAGAAGAAAAACTCTTACTCTTTATCATCTTTACCAGTACTGTTTGTTTCCTTCCAACGATGAGGAGATCAAAGGAGTGATGGATTATTTGATTTTAATGCATGTTACATTTTGGATACGAGATGTCCCACAAAGATCTCAGGTGTTTGTGTAGAAGGTAAAATGATCAGATTATGAGAGCTATAACTTCATCAGTAGATTAATCCATTTGATGGATTTATAATTGGAAGGGTCTAACTGGTTGGTAAATATAGTCAGGTAGGGTATGGCTAGAGGAAGTAGGTCATTGGGGGCCTATGTTTGTGTATTATATTTTGTCCCTGGTTCCTTGCTCTACGCTTCCAGGCTGCCATGAACTGAGCACCTTTCTATTACCATACCTTTCCATCATGATGTTCTGCCTCAACTCTGGTGCAGAGCAATGGAGCTGGCCAACCATGGACTGAAACTCTAAATCCAGGTGCCAAAGCTCTCCTCTAAGCTACTCTTGTCAGATATCTTGGTCACAGTGCTGAAACACTTCCTAATGCAATGAGCTTGCATATTCTGCCATGTTGTTTTCCATTGCATTTCCTCTTCTAAGATCTCTAACAATCAATATATGTTATTTAATCACCTAAAAAAATGACCAATGATCATGGGATGAAAACAAGTAGTCACACAGTAAATAGGGTAACTGAAAGTTTCCCTTACTTTTGATACTTCAACAAAAGATGTAAAAGTTTGATTCAAGAATGAGAATCTGACAATACTAACTAGTTTTGGAAGAGTGCCCCAGGCCCCCAAACTTATTTGTTTCCTCAGTTGATTATAAATGATTATCCTATGAAGTGCAAGGAACTGGAAACAACAACAGAAAAAAAACTTAAATTTTCATGCTGAATCATATTTTAGCAATTTCACTTAAGCCGCAGGAGTTTTCTAAAAATATCTGCTGAATGCCTCTCCCCCTGGCTAAAACTACTTTACAGAGTTACAGAGGTAAAAGTCATTGGTGGCCAAGCACGCTAGCTAGCTAGAAGCCAATTATTTAATTCTGAATGAAGTTCCTTCTTTCTCTCTGGGCAAAACATCAATGTTTATTTGTTATGGTGACATAGTTTTATAGCACCTTACAGCTTTCAAAGTGGTTTCTCATCCGTTACCCCAATAGTCCGGTAATTTTATAATGAGTGAAAGAAAGTATTCTGTTTTTTAAATGTGGAAAGTGTGTTACAGATGGTAAATAATTTGTCTAGTTACAACTGGCAAGAATCAAAGAAGAGATTCAAACTTTCAGAAACACTTGAATTCATTTTAAACAGTTCAAAGACACCTTTTTTGGTCTTCTGGTGCGGGGGAGTACTGGGAACTGGACTCACTGAGCCACATCCCCAGTCCTATGTCACATTTTTTAGAGACAGGGTCTCACTGAGTTGCTTAGCACCTCACTTTGGCTGAGGCTGGCTTTGAACTTGTGATCCCCCTGCCTCAGCCTCCCAAGCTGCTGGGATTACAGATGTTTGCCACCACACTTGGCCGACCTTTTTAATTTTTTTAAATTATCTTTTCTTAAAGAGCATCAGAGAAACGTCTTTCCCTTGGGAACAAGTGGATATCAGGTGTTTAAGATATCTATAATAACACTGACTTTTTAATGGAAAATAATAGTGCTACAGAAAGATAAGAATTATCCACAAAATTTCATTATATCTAAGAGAATATCAGTACCTTTACCTTCATAAGACCAAAATATATAGCTTCTAGTTTTGATGTATTTCCCCAAATACTTAAAAATAATTTGTCTGACAATCATAACATGTAAGGTCCACACAAATATATGGTGTGCTAGTGGTAGTAAAACCCAGGCTCAGTGATGCATGGAAGTAGCTTAAGCAACTGACTGAGGCCCTAAGCCACTCAACGAACCCTGTCTCAAAATAAAAAAATAATAAGGGCTAGGGACAGGACTCAGTGCCTCTGATTTTAATCCCTAGTACAAAAAGCAAAACAAAACAAAAAACCTCTAAAGGATTGTCTTTGATAATTATTGATGAGACAAGTGGAAACCCTATCTTCTAAGGCAAATCTCAAAAAGAAAAAAAAAAAAAAAAAGCTAGTGAATATGAGTATATTTTCCTCACCATTCCTTCTCAGGATTACTAAGTCCTTCTTTAAAAATGGAAAGATGAACTACATCAAGATGACCTTAGGGTACTGTGAATATCATTAAGTAATTAGGGTAACTAAAAACATTAAAGACATAAGAAACTAATAATCTTAGTGGTTTATGTAGATGAGAGACCTCAGGTTTTGAGATTATAGGTAATAACATTTTTTAAAAGAAAGGATAAGATCTTAATTCTTTCATTTTCTACCCCCCCCCATGTCTTTTTCTTAACCCTTTCTCTTCTATTTTACCTAATCTGTTAGGGTTCTTCTTTCTCTTCTGGCCTTCATAAGTCTTCCCATCCTCCAATTTATAATAATGAAGAAAATGCATATGGTTTAAAAAAATAAAAACAATATGAGCTTACCTTTGACCATACACTTTTGGTCCTTAAAAATTATAGAACATGATAAAGTAGAAAAAATGTTCAAGCCAATCAGAACTCAGAAATTAAGCCCCAGCTATAACACTATTTTTGTGATTATGGGAAAATATTTCAAAACAAAATGTTCTTTTCCAAAATTTAGATTTACAATTAAGAGTGGACATCAGTAAACTATAATTTGCTTAGTACAGAGTACATATTTTATGGCTTTGCTACACATTGAAGTACAAAATAGTGAATGAGGTTACCCAACACATTAGGCTTAGGGTTGAGTTGTTTAAATTTTTTTTTTTTTTTTAAAGTTGATTCCCTCAACCAAGGATACAAAGTGACAATTGTGTTTCCTTTAGTTTCTTTTAGTGCAGAGGTTCCTCCTTTTTCCAGCAACTTGGTAAAGAAAACCAAGTTATTCAGGCTGTGGAATTGGCCATGATCCTCAATTTTGTTGGCCATACCTCCACCACATTCTTTAACATGTTCTTCAGTGCTGTGTACTTCCCACTAATGGAACGATCTAGGGGTTTGATCAGATCCTAGGTTTCTGGGTTTTGGCAAGACACTGAGTATTTTCCATTGAGTCTTATTGGAAGAGACATTGCTGTAAGATCATAGGAGGTTTGGGGGTTACCATCTGGATCCATCATATGTTCCTCCTCAACTAAAAGCTTCAGCAGCCATGAGGATCATTGCTTAGATTTGTCAGTGCTTCAGGAATTGCAAACTGAAGATATTCTAACACTCCTTCTGAATACATTAATTGTATAAATACACTAATTATATAAATATCCTATAAAATTTTGTCCTTGTCATTTGATTATCTTGATGTAAGGCAGGATAATTTTTTTTCCCTCCAATTTAACAATTTTCAAAGGAGATCAAGTTGATTATTGTATTGGTTGCTGCTTTTAGTATCATTCTAAGTTTCAATTCCTTTCAGTTATTATCCTTATTGATCATAAAATTGCTCCCTCTATATAGCCACTGGTCAGAATCCCTCCCGTTGGATCTGGAGCAGTGGTATTTGAGAGATTTCCTGCTTTGGTGATACTGAGGTATGACTATAAATTTTTTGGTGTGAAACAGTATTACAGTTTTGTTGGAGGAGAAAATGTCTACCATATACATATGAGTGAAACGAAATAGCTCACTGAAATATCTCACATCTGCTTCAAAGTAAGCTAGGGCAAGAAAGTTGGGGGTAGAGATGAAATGAGTTTGTTTTCTGTTGATAATCGTTGAAATTAGTGAAATAACAGATTCTTATTGTTCACTGTTTTCTTTTACACATCTGAAAATTTCCACAAAAGTTTTTCTTAAATTCCATTTTAATAAAAGTTAAAAAATCACTATTACAGAAAAATTAAGCACACACAAACACACACACCCCACATACACCCCTTAAATTTGGCTCATACCCAACCAGATTTTCAAAAAATTATTTTTAAAAAAAGGCATGCAAGATAAAAAAGGAACAACCTCAAGAAAAATTTGAATCTGAACAGATAGTCTGAAAAAGAATGATTCTTAAAGTATTCTTTATTAAGATCATTAAAAGTTGTAGAAACAACTTTATATTATAAAGGCACAGGGAGACAGTTCTGATAAAATATTCAAATTAAACAGTAACTTACAGTACAAAAGACAATTTTAATGCACATACAAACCCCAAATGTCTGATTCAAAAATATTTTACTGCGTCTATTAATGGGCAATGATTAAAAATATAAATTGCTGCTGTATAATAAATATCTGATAGTGAACATCTTGATAGCAAAGTGAACAAAATATTTATTGCTTTTCACATACATATTTTTCCCTGTAATTTAAAATTCCTAATTCTTTTACTATCTTCTCTTCAATCTTTTCCAAAGATAAAAAGAAATTTCACATGATCTCATGAAGGGGAATGGTAGTTGTAAGAAACTACCTCAAAAGCAATCACTGCTGGCAGTGTTCTCTCACTCACTACTCTGCAACTGCAACCACACTCACTCCTCCAAAATGTAAGAGAAACGTTTGCTAAATCACAGACAACTCCTCTGCAACTGGCATTCTAAGATTTGTAATGAATACTTATCAAATATAAAAGATGTTCTGTTTTGGAATTGTGAATTTTATTTGTAATGCTGAGTAAGAGGTGAATGTTGGAAAAAAGATTTTCTTATTCCCACAAACACTTTCCAAAGTTGTAAAAAGTCAACTTAGTAATATCTTCAGCACTTAAGACATTTCATTGAGAGCTATGCAATGTACCGATGTATAAAAATTAACATAATGCAATCTATTTCAAAATGAAGATCTCTTGCCCTTTTTCTTTCAGTTTTTAAACTGGAATTAAATATTGATTTCATCTGCCTGTATGTGTGTGTGTGCGTGTGTGTGTGTGTGTGTGTGTAGCAATCTAATTTTAGGTAGTGCAAGTAGAATTTCTATCACAATAATCAAATAATGGGAAAGCATCATACTAATTAATGCTTTTACAATGTAAGAAATACCTACATTAAAATACTTGATGAAGTTACTTAAACATGTCTATGTTCAGAAGATGTATAGCAGCTACTAATGTGCCTGGCACAGAGTTGATGTTCAATAAATAGTTGCTCAATTAATGAAAAAGCAAAACTTGGCTTTGGTTGTGCATAATTAATTACTTTTTTTTACTTAGATAGTCAGTCTAGAACTAAGTACTGCATACTACACCAAATTTTGCTGTAAACAAAATAGCTTCAAACAGAAAAATATTACCTATGTTAGTGATAGTCAACTTATAGATTTTTTTTTTAAATAGACTACAAAATTCACACATTTGTTAGTTTTTATCCACAGACTGAGTTTTGATGTTTAGCAATTGGAGGAAGCCCCCAGTGGGCAGACTAGCTTCATGATAAAAATTACTGGTCCATAAATAAATAAAAGATTCTAATACCTGATTACACTCAAATTATGACTATCATGTTAATTCTGCAAAACTACCAATGAATATCTTTAAGTTACATATTCTTGAAAGCAGGAGTTTAATTGCCAGGGAGATTTGATTTTAATGATAGCAAAGATACTGGATAAGAAAGGTAGGAAGGTGAATTCTATTTTAAATTCTAAACATAGGACGAAGTCTAAAATTTCTTTGGCATATGAATTACTATCTTGGGTTAGCTGAATTTTTTAAAATACTGGTTTACTTATTTCTGAACCAAAATTACCATCAAGGTGTAGATTGCTAGTATATAGTATACACTTGTTAAAGCCATTTAGTGTGACATTTTGCAACATATGCTACACTTCATGTTCAGTGTACATTATAATTATTGGCATAGAGGGATGTAACTTTTAATAACCTGAAATGATATCATGCAATGGTAAAACCACAGGTGAGGGGAAAATTATTTACATAATAAAATATTCAGCTTTCTGAAAAAACAGAGTAAACCTGGGAATCCTGCCCTAACAGTAAATATGTACCGCATAGCACTGAATGAACACTAATTAAAATTTAAATGAACATCTACAGTAACCTGAATGTGTAAAATTTAATTTAAAAACCCATAAAAACGGCGGAAAAAAAAAAAAAAAAAAAACAACCTATACACCAGAAGGAAAAGGGGCCTATAAAACAGGCCAATCTAACTTGACATTCAAAGTAAAATGCAAGAGATTCACAAAATCATGATAGTAATGCAAACTAAGTTACCAAGTATCCTTTGATACACAGCCAACATAACTATCAGACTCATTTCCAATAGCTTAACAATATTCATTAATCCACCCAGGCAGGGGGGGAGGGGGACAAAGCAGTCAATGATACCTCAAGTTTCCAAAGTATAGGAACATACTTATTTGCAGAAGCATCATGTGAATTTTGAAGTAATGTCTTATTTTGATGGATGTTAATGTAAGATCTATCAGTGCAAGTTTATCATCCTCTGAATGTAATACTTCCAAATTTAATTTTTCCAGATAGTTTTTGGTGGTTGTTTTGCCAGTGCTGTTTAAATGAAGAAAGGAAAAAAAAAAAAGTTCACCATAGACTACCTCACATTGTTACTTAATTGTGCTAGATATTCCCGCAGTTCTTTTGCTGCCTGGAATCTGCCATAGCGCTTCTTTGGGTTGGCACACTCATCCAGTAAGGCCTCGAGGCGGCCATCTTTGGCAATTTCACTTGGTGGGTCATGGAGGAGTCCTCCAGAAGTGCCACGCCAGGTGGCATGTCTGGATAAGAGGTTTTGACAAACAGCATAATAATTGTGGTCCACAGTAACACGGGCACAAAGAATTTCTTTTGAAAATGATAAGCAAGCCTCCTTATCACAGTCATCAAATTTGCTTTCATACCATACATCCCAGTTTTCAGGTTTATCTGTGAAAGACGGAAAAACAAAGAGAAAAATACATTTTAAAATAGAGTTCTCATTGCTTCCCAAAATAGGACATTTCACTATTTAACATACAAGCATGTACTTTACACTATTAGGCGGAGAAGTATATTATGATTTTAAATACTTAAATCACATATTAATTCATATCAATATTTACCAGGAGTTCTTCAGTGTCAACAGAGAACCAGACAAGGTTCCTATCACTCACAGGTTTAGTACAGTGATTTTTCCATCATACATAAAAAGAATCAAAATATGACAAAATGCTACAGGACTGGAGAGGATGTAGCATTTCTGCCCGCATGGAGAACATCTTATTTTAGGTCTTAAAAGATAACAAGTCTGAAAAGAAACAAGGGAAAACAGCATTCTAGGCCCAGGGTAAAGTATATGCAAAGGCACATACTAAAGGGATTGGTCCAGTTGGTCAAGGAAACTATGAGAAGTTTATAGTGGATATAGTGTGAGACAGGTATCTGGAAAGGAAGTACAGATGAGGCTGGAGAAAGATACTGTAACTTGAGCAATCATGACCATGACTTGTTTTATAGAAAGATAGTTCTTGCTAAAGATCAGAGACACTAAGATGATGACAGCAACTAAAGAAGGCCCAGTTTGGAAAAATATTTGACAGGTAATTAACAGGTAAGAGTATGTGTTAAGTTTAAGGTTTTAACTGGATCAGAAGGTAGGTGATAATAAAGTGTCAATTCTCTATAATAGAAAGAAAACAAAGTAGCTATAAGGTATTCAGGAGGGCTTGTGACACATGTAACTAGAACTAGACTGGAACTGTATGAGGTCAGGGGTATAATACCCATATTGTTTGCATCCATGTGCTACACGGAGTCAAGGTTTGAAGGACAAGTCACAAGCTTTATGTGGAAAAGAAAAGAAATTTAGGCAGATGAAACCATTTGGGAAAACCCAGAAGTAAAAAGATTCATTTGAGAAAACAAAAGGCCATAATTTCTGAAGAATCAAAGGTAAAAGAAAGAGGGATATTAAAAATGAAGCACGACAGGACCAACTCACACAGATCGTGCCCTGGTAAGGAATCTGGATTTTACTTGAAGCACAATAAGAAGCCATTAGATCATTTACAAAAATGGAGAGATAAGATCTGATTTGTTTTTCAAAAGTTGGTATTCTAGATGACAGCAAAGGAAGAAAGGATTTCAAGAAGTTGTTACTAATCAAGAGTCATTTTCTCAACTTACTATTAGGTGTTTGCTAATGGCAAAGAAGATATCTAAGTCAGATTCTAATCGGTTAAGGCAATGAACAGAAACAGAAGTAGAAATAGGTAAATCAGCAAAATTAAAAAAAAAAAACAACTGAAAAGCAAAAAGTAGCAGAAAGGGCTCTCATACAAACTTGTTTATGTGGAGGTAAAATAAATTGGATATTAATTGGAGTGGGAAGTGAGCTATTTAGAACTATTGTTTAAAAAAGAGATGAATTTTTTTAAACTAAGTTTATATGATAAATGGAAACACACTGAGGGAGTTGCCCCAGCAAAACTTCAATTTTCCTGTGAATAAAAAAAAATAATAATTTATTAGAAAGTAGATTGAAGAGGATAAATAACTAGATAGGGGCCTTCTGTAAAAGGACCCTATATAGAAGGTCCAACTATGAGACATTTGAGAAGAGTTGACCAGAGTTTAAATAGCACTAGAAAAATGTTCACTATATGAAATTTAAAAAAATATATGTTATGATTGGATTCATCCAAGGTCAGCAATTAGCTGGTATAAAACTGAAACCATTAATCCAGAAATGTCTGCATACAATGAAATACAAAAAATTATTTTTACAAACATTGGAATAAAAATTTCAAAAGTTCAGGCAAACTGTACAACTCTTCGAACACATTAAAAATAAGTGAATTATACATTAAAAATTTTTTAAAAAGAGCCTGGTGTAAGATGCTACAACAACATTCCAACAGGGCATTCACTCCCTATAGGAGGATTTTCATAGCAAGTTAAGAAATAAAAAGAAAGTAGCTTAGTGAGCACACAATCAAAGCAATTAAAACAAGCAAGTGCTTAACAGTACTGTGCTAAATCATGCAAAAAGTTAGTGTAACCAAATATAATATTATTGTATTAGCTGCATTTTTCAGATGCCATAAATTTGCAACTTCTATTAATCTGAAGGTCCATATATCCCTTATATATCAGGGGAGCATATGGGATTAAAATATAAGATCCTTACCATGGACCAGAAACCCTTTGATTCCTTTTCCTAACTGAATTGGTTCTAAAATATAGACTTTAACACTTTAAAATTCCTATGGCATTTAATTTTCAAAATAGATCAGATATTATGCCAACCTATCATATAGAGAGAGCTCACAAATAAAATGGAGAGCAAACTTCTGGGTAAAATGTAATAATCAGAATGTCAAATTAAAGTCAGAGTTGCAGTATTAGGAATGGTTAAGAACAACAGAACATAAACCATTGTTTTAAGAGATCCCCACAGAAAAATGAGGCCTCCATGAAAGTAGGACAGTCTCTCTGGTAGATTTTGACAAAATAAACTTAATTCTGCATTAGACTCCTAAACCTTAGAAGGTAGCACACTGTACACAAAAGACATACACACACACACACACACACACAAAGAATATTTGTAAAGATATTAAACTTTAAAGATATTTACTAAATATGGGGAAACTGTGACTAAGAATATAACAAATAAATTAATATTTGTTTGCTGACATTGGTTATGTAAAGTAAAGAAAGATGCAAGGTTGCCATCTAAGGAGGAAATTTAAGGTTTGCTTCATATAAAAACACTGTTTCAACAGAAAAATTATAAACAAAACAAATCTAAAAGTTACATACTTACTTTGTCTAATTAATCTTTTGTCAGCAACCAAAACATTTTCAGCATCCACAATGATTACCTTCCCATCTCGAGGACCAACTGCAAAATTGTCAAAGCTGACATCCAGGAGGTAGAGTGCAAATTCAAAGTCATTGTTTGTAAGCTGCTCGGCTATTTCCATTAACTGCCAGGCAAGGTCAACTCGTTTCTCCCATGGTGCGTTGAAGTAACTCCAAAGTTCTTCTCCAACATAATTGACAGCCACCATTCTTCCACAAGCCCCAAGATATTTTGCAAATGGCCAACCTTCATCAGATGGAAAACTCTACAAAAGAATTAGCTTACCATTATAAGAGATTCTAATGATGACATCCTCTTAGTAGAAATTACTACTAGAAATCACTGAATTTTCTTGTTATTGTCAACAGCTCATTAGATAAATTTATTTTTTTTTCTACCTCATACCATTGCAATGGACCTGAAAAAATGTAAATGATGAACTTTCTATTTTAAGTTAAAATAAGATTTGACAAGATGTGCTTATCCAAAATCTCTAAACCAAACTTACAGATCAAAGACAAGACACTGTCTTTATCGCCAAATCTGAAGTATTTACACTTTCCTGTCATCTTCTTGACTCAGGAAAGTGAAATCAACCAATCATTCTAGTGAGTGGACAGTAGTGCAAATCTATTACCAACCATTATTTACCAGGCACAATGTACTAGGCTATGCTGATAAAAAGAGTAAACTAAAGAATTAGTTTCTTGAGCTATAGGCTCTTATTTTGGAAGACCAGACAGAAAACCTACCAATTAATTAGGGTACCTGGTTCTGGCCCTAGAGAGCATTTAACAGGGGCCTTAGGTAATCCAGAAAGAGGGGTAGAATTTAGGGAAAGACTCTTGGGCTTTTAACTACATCCCGAGGTGAGGAAGGGACAAACTGATCCCTATCAATTCTACCTCCACTCCAAGCCTCTTTGGCTAGTCTTGTTTTCCTTTCCCCAGCCACAACATTTTCTGTTCACCTTGGCCCAGCCTCAAAATTATTTATTTTCATAAGTTTATCAAGATTTTTCCAATGGATATTGTTTTAAATCAAAAGAAAAATCTGCCATAATCATAAACAAGTCATTTTCAACTCAAGTAAAATGGTAGTTTATATGTAGAATACTTTCTACTGCTAAGCACCAACTACAAAATGAGCATTGGAGGGGAAAAGAAATATAGGAAGTGTTATCTTAGACAACTTCTTAGATAAGATCACAAGATCGGAGGTATTTTAGAGCCATTTCCTCTGCCTCCAACTTTTCTTTAGGTTGGAAAAGAAAAATTATGAGATGTTGACATAGCCACTATAGGGAGTGAAGGTGAACTGTGAAGACAGTATTATATATATAACTTCATAACAAAACACTGCGGGAAGAATATAAATGTGGTTACTTCCATTGCTAAAAATTGAACAATCTACATATACTTAAAGAGTTAGAGGCTCTTTTTGTGTCTCTTAAGATGCAATATTAATTTTACCCTGAGCTTTTGTCAAGACATAATAATATCCTTACATTAAAATTTTTATCAACTATAAAACAAAGAATATTTTTACAACTAATTTTTACCCATAATTTCCCATTTTCAAATTTCCTTTAGGTATTTAGAAAAGTGACAGATTGCTCATGTTCAAAGTGATAAACTGGTAACCACACATTGTTTTCAACTTTTTCTCCCAATTTAAAATACCTCATTGACCTTGACATTTTGGTTAGACAATGATAAATTATTTAACTATTATCCAGAGGTACTCATGTATAAAGACCCTGACCAAAAAAAAAGGAAAAACACTAAAAATATGTAAATATCTGAAACAAACTAATTTTGTCATGCAAAAACTAAAACAAAGACTCTTCCATACACTATTGATATATTATTCACATGCTATACTGTAGAACAAATATAAACATATCTTTGTGCAAGTAAAGTAAAATGGTCTTTGACAACAGGAGAAAAGGGAACTCTGCCAACATGTGCACATGTACAAATGCCTCCTTGTTTCTGGAGTCTTTCCAACTGGCAAACGACAGTCAAATCCACACTTCATTACCCAAGTCCCTCACAGAACAGCGTAGAATATACGAACAAATGTCACATTGAGCAACTTTATACTCATATAGTGATTTTGACAATTCTAACTGAAGTCTTTTATTTCTCATTTTATAAAAAGCACTACAATTCTTTCATATAGTTTGCTACCTAATCTTTTGGAATGACTTTAATAAATGAATTCATACCATTTGCTCACATGACAAGAATTTTTCATTGCATAATCAAAATAGTCAGATATCCTTAATGAAAACAGAATTCTGTCGGACACATTGTAGTCAAAAAAAAAAAAAAAAAACTCAAGGGAAGCCGAAATATTTGTTAGTTGCATATTAAGCAATCAATTCTGGCTTAGAATCAAATTATCATAGTCAAATAGAGTTTGAGAGGAAAAACTCAAAACCTAGATTTGTTAACTATATCAAGCAATATAAAAAACAAGTATTCCTGGTGACACAGTAGCTAGGTAGGATTAGTTGCTTAGTACAGACTAGGTACACATTTTCTTATTTAAAACCAAATCTAAAAACCAGACTTTTTAATTGCCTAAACAATCATAATTTGATATAATCTGAAATGATGTGACTATCTTAATGAATTATTTACAACTGAAAAAAAATCCAGGATTGGGGTTGTAACTCAGTGGTAGACTGCTTGCCTAGCATACGCTAGGCACTGGATTCCATTCTCAAGACTGTAAAAGATCCCTCAACAACTAAAAAAAAATATTAAAAAAGAAAAGAAAAAATATACACAAATATGTCCACTGAAGCGAGCAGCCAAAACTTAGAATGTACCAATTCTAATTGGATTAGAGGTACTTCACTTAATTTTTCAAGGTTTATAATCAAGCTTGAATATATTTCATGAAGTATAATGTGGAAAGTTTTTTAAATTAGATGTTGGTTAAAACTATACAAAGATACAAAACAGATATAAAACTATATGTTTACTTTTTTTGAAATTATTGAAATATTTTTAATTTTCAAAAGTTAAAAAGCTGTGACACTTTATATAAACTGTTAGCAAGAAAGCTGATATCTGGTTAACCTATATAAAACATAAGGTTTTATTTTCCTTTTCTTAGAAATACTCAAATACACTTATTTCATATCCTTCAAAAAATACTGAAGGATATTTGTATCCTTCATTTATATTTTTATTAACAATTTCACAGAAATTGTTAAGCAGAAATAGTACATCCATGTTTTTCATGAACTTGAAATATTGTTATATGCCACTTTACCCTCTTAGAAGAAATTTACCATTTTTCACAATGAGAAAGCAGAAAATAATATATAATCAAAAGGAGCAAGCCTGAATCTTTTATTCTCTGTCAACAGAAAACAGATTAAGTATGTGGATCAAAATAAGGACAGACACAGATGACTTATGTTTCTAACCTTTAACTCTGGCTCAGGAGTTAATAAATAATAATGCCCAATCTACTGGTAAACATGAATTCCTTATCAAATTTATATTCACTTTTATTAGTATTTTTTAAAGTAAGTTGATGATAACACAAAGAAGACTTCTACAGACTATTACTACAAATGTAAAAATTCAAAATAGAAACTTGAACAGGGAATATATAGCTCAGTGGTAGAGCACTTGCCTAAAATGTTCGAGGCCCTGAGTTCAATTCCCAGCACTGAAGGAAAAAAAAAAAAAAAAGAAATTTGAAGTATTAGGCCAAACATGGTTAATCTTAGCCAAGATTTAAATAAATATTTCAAATGTATATAAATTACCATGTCTAGGTATCTTTTATTTATTTGTTGGTAGCAAAATCTGAAGCCACTTTTTTTTTGGGTGGTGGGGGTAAGGGATACTGGGGATTGGCTCCAGGGGCACTTAACCACTGAGCCACATCCCCAGCCCTATTTTGTATTTTATTTAGAAACAAGGTCTCATTGAGTTGCTTAGCACCTCGTCGTTCCTCCTATCTCAGCCTCCCAGCTGTTAGCATTACAGGTATGTGCCACCATGCTCGGCTCAAGCCACTTCCTAAGTATCACAAAATGTAGATATTATCAAGAGCAATACTGTATGCAATTATATGCGGATTTGGGGAACAAGTAAACAAAATCACCAAGGTCATCTTCCACTTTATGAAAAACTAGAAGTGGGGTGACAAAGTTTATATAATCAATATTAAAGAATTTGAATATTTATACTTTATATAATATTTAATAAAATGTCTATATTTAAAGGGCAATAGAGTACATAAATAGAATAATAGACGTGAGATTATATTAAATACTGATGTCCACTTCAACCTCTATCTTACCAGCTATTACTGTAGCAAAATAGTAACTTTTTTGAGCTTTGGATTCTTCCTCTGTAAAATTAGAATAACTGTACCACCATATTCATTAGGCAATCTAAGGAAAAAAGACATGACATATATTTTGTAAATTAATATTACTTTATAAAAACTGCTTACTAAATCCAAACCTTCAAGAGATATGCTTATTTTCCAACAACTATTAAAAGACATCTGCAGCTGGGTGTGGTAGTGCATTCCTGTAATCCCAGCAGCTTGGCAGGCTGAGACAGCAGAACTGCAAGTTCAAAGCCAGCCCTAGCAATGGTGAGGTGCTAACAACTCAGTGAGACCCTGTCTCTAAATAAAATACAAAATAGGGCTGGGGATGTGGCTCAGTGGTCCAGTGCCCCTGAGTTCAATTCCTGGTACCCCCTCCCTCCAAAAAAAGGCATCTATAAAAACAAACACCTTCCAAATATAACCAGGAACCACTAAATTAGAGACACATTTTCACTGCCCTCTAGTACCTTCTTATTTATAATGGGATCTACAAAAATTAGTTACCAACATCTAAAAATATACAAAGTATCCAATGTATGGAGATCAAGAATACAAGGATTAAACTTGGTAAAATGCACACACATAAACACCTTAAGTTGCTTTCAGCTTCTTACCTATAAGAACTATAAAGCAAATTTAAAATGACAAAATAACCTATTACTACCTAAATGAAAACCAAATTGTTATATTTTAATAATCAATGAAATGAGATGTGAATGTAATGAGATGTGAAATCTAGAGCTGGAAGGTACCTGAATTGTAAATCTAACTAAATCTTACTAGCACAGTGTTAATTTGCCTAAAGAAGCAACACCAAGTCAGTTATAATTCTTTCTGCAAGAGTCAAAATGAATTCAAATGATAGGTTAATACAACTTTCCAAATTTTCCAATT